GTCATCGTCTCTGCCCCCATCTCAGGCATCACTGCTTCTCTGGGTAGGGTCCTGTTCTCCGCTCTTCTCTGTTGATGGCCCTAGGGACCTCCGCTCCTAGACTGGAAAGTTAATCACTCCTTCCTTGCTATAAAACGTCTACCTTTACATTTCCAACCCTCACAATCAGTCCTGATGACAATTATTCACTACTGTATCACAAGAGACCTATCTGCATTTCATTTCATCAGCCTCACCTAGACAGATTGGATACTACTCAGTGGAGACTCTACTTCCTCCAGGCCCTCTGGATCTAGGTTCCCTCTTGAAAGCTTGTAAGCCAGTCACTTCTTGCCTTTGTAGGGCCCTTCCTCCCCCACCCCCCATTTTGGGTAGCCAGTGTCCAAGTTGCCCATCCCTGTCTACTCTGTGTGTGGAGGGGGTGGGAATGATTCTTGCCGTAAGGATTTGTTCCCTCTTTTGAGCTACTGCTTCCATAGATGTAGGACTTCATTTTTCTTGGATCCACAGTCAACACTCATGTAAGCAAAATCAAACGATATATTGCATTAGGCAGATCTGCTGCCCAGGACCTTTTTAGAGTGTTCAAGAGCAAAGGTACCAGTTTGAGGGCTAAGGTGTGCCTGACTCAAGGCATGGTATTTTCAGTAGCATCATATGCATGTGAAAGGTGGACAGTGAGTAAGGAAGACGGTGGAAGAATTGAAGCATTTGAATTATATTATTGGAGAAGAATTTTAAAGTTCTATAGACTGCTGGAAGAACAAACAAATCTGTGTTTGAAGAAGTACAGCCAGAATGCTTTTTAGAAGCCCTGACGGTGAGACTTTGTCTCTCATACTTTCGACATGTTATTTAAGAGGGAGCAGTCTGTGAATAGCAACATGCTTGGTAAAGTGGAGGGTCAGTGACAAAAATTGTGAGGATGGTGTAGGACCGGAAGTGTTTCGTTCTGTTGTGCATAGGGCCATTGTGAGTCACAATTGACTGGATGACATCTGACAACAACAACATGATAGTTTATTAGAAACTACCACATTGTTTCCCACAGTGGCTGTACCATTTTGCCTTCCCTCCAGCAATGGGTAAATGTTCTGATTACCCCACATCTTCACCAACATTTGTTAACTTCTGTTTTGTTGTCTTATCTTATCCTGTTAGGTGTCATCAAGTCAATTCTGACTTTTAGTGATCCTGTATAGGTTTTCCCAGGCTGTAAATAAATCATTATAGGAACAGAAAGCCTCATATTTTTTCCATGGAATGGCTGGTGGGTTTGAATTATTGAGTGGCCAACTGTGTGGTTATCCGTCCATTGCTGGTCCTACAGCGCTTCCAGTACTCTTAGTCATCCTTGTTGTTGTTAAATGCTGGCGAGTTGGTTCTGACTCACAGCAACCCAATATAGAGTTTCTGAGGAGCAACTGGTGAGTTTGAACTGCCAGCCTTGTGGTTCAAATGAACCTTGTGGTACAGTGCTTATCTTACAGTGCCACACAGTGGGAGTGAAATGGTATCTCATTTTGAGCTTGATCTGTATGTCTCTCATGGTTAATGCCGTTGAGTGTTTTTTCATGTGTGTATTGGCCATTTGAATGTCCTGTTTGGTGAAGTGTTAAATGTTTTCATCTTATTTCTTTTTTTAAGACAACAAATCCCCTTCTGTATGGCTGAATGAGATTCTCAAGAAAGAAGGCATTTCTTTTCTTATACATCAGTTTGAAGGGGGAGGACAGAGTTGTGACCAGCTCTCTGGCATCCTGGTACAGCCCACTCTCAGCCATATTTCAGGGCCATTTAGTCTTCGCACGACCCTGCAGTGGTTGGACATGCTACTGGCATCGTTGGAGTGTTACAACACGTTTATTGGTGAGAAGACCATTGGAGCATTGGAGGTCCTGGGTAAGTAAAACTTAGATCTTAAATTGATATTTTCCAGTTCTGTCAGGAGTGACTCAAGGGAAGAAATCTTTGATCAGACAGCTTGTTTTTAGTCTCACCTAAGACCAACTCAATGGCACTTAACAACAATGTTGTTGTTGTTAAGTGCCGTGGAGTCGTTTCCGACTCATAGCTACCCTGTATAGGGTTTCCGAGGAGCAGCTGGTAAACTTTAACCACCGACAAATGTCTTTTAACAACAAAAACAATAGTTAAAGCTGACCCCTCTGTGTGAAGTGCTTTCCATGCATTCTCATTGAATTTTTCAGTGAGGAGTGGGACTGAAGACTGAACCAAGGTCACATGGACATGCCCGGAGCCTGTGCTCCTAGAGCCCAGTCTAGAAGTTCTAGATGATAGCTGATACTATAAAAAATACTGTCTGTAGTTTTAGTAATTTTAAAAGAGTTGTTCAAGACCTGAATCTCTCTGATCTTATTCCATGTTTCTCTGTTCAAGTGTCTGTCTTTCTTATTTTTTTCATAATCTTTAAGCTTGTTATAGAAGTAGGATGGGATTGATACTGTTTACAGAGTGCAAGGTAGGTTTTGTATGCTCCGTAGCCTGTGTAGGGAAGGAGGCACACAGGCCACTTCCTCTTCATGATGACAGGGTACTCTTGGAGGCAGGCGAGTATACTTTCTAAACCAGCTCTGTGGGAAGTGAGCCTGGCACTATCAGCTTTAGGATTCTCTGACTGGGGATATCTTAACCTTTTGAGATTTTACCTGCATCCTGTCATGGATTCAAAACATGTGCTATTATTTAAAATGTTGGTTTTTTTTTTTTTTTTAATTTAGGCCAAGCACCTACTGCAATGCTCTGTGGTAGTAGTTTACTGATTTTTTGTGTTGGAGATGAAGTCCATGTAGTGGGAATTTGAGAGAAAAGGAACCAGGCTCTTTTAATTTTTAGCTTGAAGATTATAGAAGACAAATATGTGGGTGGTGTATAATATATGTGTGTGCATGTGTGCATATGGTTATATGCATATGTTTACATGTGTGTGCACGCTGGGCTTATATAGTTAGAGAAACTTTGAGTCTTTAGCATGAGATTCTGTTCAGGAAAGTAGGTGAAAATGTGAAACTTTTAAAAGAGTAGTGATAGTTGTTTGGGTACCAATTATACCTTACATTTGTTTTTCTAAGAAATGCTAAATATTAGTTGTTTGGGTACAAATAATACCTTACATTTGTTTTTCTAACAAATGTTTTATGTTCTTATTTTGAAAATGTGAACAAGGAAAAGCTCAGTATTAGTATAACATGCAAAACTTTCACTCTCTGTGTTTACAAAAGAATCTCCTTGTATAAATATTTCTTCTATATTAAATTACCAATACATTTGTTATTAAGGAAAATTATATTTATTGTAATCAAAACAATAATATAAATTTTGATGAATAATTATCACGTTGAAGAAATGAAGTTATTAACTGTTGGCTAGCTATGGCTAGAATTCTGTTTCTACAAGTCTGTAGATTCTCAGACTAAAGATTTGTTCATGTAAGTTAAGTACCGTATTTTATTAATTCTAGAATGCATCTTTTCTATGTATAACATCTCTGTGGTTAAACTCCTGGTGTGGTGCTTTCAGATAAACATACTGGACTGGTGACCACAAGGTTGGTGGTTCAAAACCACCAGCCACTCCTCGGAAGCCCTGTACCAGGTTTCTGTAAGTTGGATCTGACTGAATGGCATTTAACCTGACAACAACAACATGGCTGCACTATGTCTGACAGTCCAGTAATCTATTGGATTCAAGGCTGTTTGGTATTGGAGAATAGAAATTTTTATATATTGTATTTTAATCCTTTTACTGTCTTCTGAATTATGTACTAAAAACTGTATAGTGATATGTTCATCAAAATTATTTTAATACTGATAATTGGATTATATCTGTTCAAAATTTTTTACAAGAAAAGATTGGAAACCATTAAAAATATTTCTTACCTAGCCATCAGCTTTATTCACTTTTTCAATATATACACTAGTATTTTACGTTGTTCCTTTGTTTGTGGCTCTCAGGTTTTCACATTCTGGGATAATGAACTACAGTTAAATGGGTCATGGGTGAAGGGATGTCTGTCTTTCCTGTATCCACAGAGGGTGATCATGAAAGGAATGAGGTGGGAAAGGAGAAAAGCAGTACACCTGTGTTTGCAGGCAGGTGTGTTTTCATTTACAGCCCGTCTGAGAGTGGACTTGGAAATTGAGTCCCTGGAATTACTAGTACTTCTGTAACTTTATGGACTCTATGGCCATCATTTGTTGTCCAGTTGCTCCTTTGAAGGACAACTACATAGTTTCTGTTTTTTATTATTTTATGTTTATATTTGTGGTTTGGGTAAAATTCTATAGAGCAAGTTAATTTTCCGTTCAACAGTTTATACACATTTTGTTTTGTGATGCTAGTTGCAATCCCTTCAAGGTAAAAACAATTTTTCCACTTCCTTCTTGAGTTCTCAGTTTCCTTTTGTCAGTTCTTGCCACTTCCTGCTTTGGTTTTAGGCAAATCCTGGCTGTTTGATCATATAGGGTTGATTGTCCTGAAGAATACTTTCCTCAAGAATCTGTTGTTTGGTTGAAGGATGATTCCCTAGCGTAGGTTCGGTTTCAGGTTTGTTTTAGCAGTGTGTGAGGACAATTGTCTTGGGATTTCCACCTGGTGTGGTGCTGTAGGCTAAAGCACTGGACCACAGGGTCTGTTTGAACCACAAGTTTGGTGGTTCAAACTCACCAGCCACTTCTTGGAAACCGTATACAGGGTCTCTATGATTCTGAACTGACTCAAAAGACACTTAACAAGTATCAGACTATTAAGTTTAGCTTTTATAAGATTTTGAATTTTGTTATACATGTCTTCCCTACTATGTCCAGGACCTCCTATTGTGATCCTGAATAGAGTGATTTGTTGTGGTAGCCGGGCACCTTCTATTTCTTCTTGTCTCAAGGTAGTGAAGGCTGTACTTGGCGTGGCTCATTAGTCTTTTGGAGTAATTGATTCTTGGCATCTTTGACTTTCTTCACTCTGCTTTTCTTCGATGAGGAGAGACCAATAAACGGTCAGGATATATATAATGTCTTTATGAGCTGTGTTATGCCAATTGATCTAGATATCTCCTGAGACAATGATTCTAAGCCCTCAAGGCATCACTCACTCCCTCAGT